GGTGAGACTTTTGTCTCCGTCAAATGTTAATTTCCAGCTTCAACCAGTTTTCTTCAGTCTTACAGTTACCTTAGTTACAACTTGAAAACCCTTGGGAAAAACCACAGTAAACTACTTTTTAAAAGGAAATGACAATGCGTACATTACAGCTGGGGTGCTTCTCAATATCCCATGATTTACCATAGTTTACATCAATTTATCATGTTCGAATATGATTTACCATGATTCTAGCATGATTTACCATAGTTTACCATGCTTTACCATGTAGTATGATGGTTTACCATGGTTTACTACGTTCTAGTATAATTTACCACAATTTACCATAAATGATGACATAATTTTCATTAACATGTCCAGATGACATATCTCTTTATTATTATTAAACCATCTGGAAATGCTGCCTGTCTGAAAAAAATAATTCAGGTTTTGTGCAGTTGTACCACTTCAGCATTAAATTGAACAGCTGTTCTCTATTATCATGTTGTATATTATCAATGTTCATTACATCACATATCTTCAAACATCATCAGGAAATTGCACAAGAAAGCATTACGCATATTTGTTTTCCTGTAATCTTCTCACTGCAAGTTCCCAGAAACTGAACTCCAGGTATCTGGATAAAGAGACAGTTTTATTTCTGAACAAAGACGACCCATAAACAAACAGGGCACCAGTCAGTGTGATCATATACTCACAATGGTCTTCCATGGATGTCCAAGTGTTGACAAAGGATTTCTAAAAGTCAACCAACATTTCACAAAGTCAATGCAAAAGAGTAAATCTGACAGTTGAAGAACACATGAATCTTGAGTTGAGATTTTTATATCGGCATGCACATAGGATTAAGCTTGGGTATTAATGATAGGAGGCTTTTTGCCTCTATTGGGAGCATCAACGTTAACTAAAACCACTGGGACTTGAAAAAGAGACCCAGAGACAATAATCTAACGACCATTAGGGTCACAGATTGTGTCAGAAGGTATAAACTACTCTCTTATTAATTAAAATTGCCACACCTCTTGATCTATTACATTTGGAATGAAACATTTTACTAACCCATATCTTACGAATTCTATTGTGATCATCCAGTCTTAAATGTGTTTCTAGTTAAAACAATATATCTGGTTTGAAAGATTTAAGAAGGGAGAAAACTTTAGCTCTTTTAACAGGACCATTTAATCCCCTGACATTCCATGTCTTAAGCCTCACAGGATGACCTCTATCTTCATCATCTATAGTAACTGTATAATACAGAAATTAGAAGCATCAAGGGTTTTGATCTAAAACAAATTGTAGCCATGAATTGTAAATTACAAAAATAAGATACAAGAAACCAGAGGTAAACAATGCTGCCAAACAAAAAACAAAAAAACAATCACTCTGTTCCTGGGAGTTCTGGAGAGGGTTCGCTGGGATAGGGCCCGTCTGCTGTTAATAGCCCCGTTCTGGTAGGCCCAAGTTTGGTTTTCGGACCTGGTGTCCCTCCTCGAAGGCTCTCCTCTGGAGATTCCGATCGGGAGGGACCTGCTGTCCCAGGCAGGGGACACGATATTTCACCCTCGTCCAGAGTTGAGGAAACTGTTGGCTTGGCCCCTGAGGGGGCCCAGTTCATTAAATCTGGTCTCTCTACTGAGGACATTGAGACCATACTTCAATCCAGAGCTCCCTCCATGAATAAATTGTATGCTTTTAAATGGAGATTGTTCACTTCATGGTGCAGAGAACATCAACTGGACCCGGTCAACTGCCCTGTTGGTTCAGTGCTAGAATTTCTACAGGAGCATTTCACTGCAGGGTTATTTCTCTCCATCGTGTTTAGAATTTGCACATGGCATGGTGAAAGCCTTTCTTCACCCAAGACCGGGTTATGTGCCTAAGGTCCCCACTAATATTTTGGGGCCTATTATGCTGCAGGCCTTTTGTCCTCCTCTCTTTCATTCATCAGATCAGGTCATTAAAGTGTTAATATATAAAAGTAACACTGACCTACCTGTACCAAAGCATGTTTTTGAGGATGTCATCTTAATATATAATAAAATCTGAACACAAAGACTTAAGAAAAAAAAAAACTTTAATGTATAAACAATTACCCACCCAATACATAGCCAACTTTTAAGTACTGTTAATGTACATGAAATAAAGAAACTGAACTTGAGCACACTAAAAAGAGGCCGTGATTCTACACACACTCAGTGTTCCAGCAAAAAACAGACAAGAACAGTTAAGCTCTTTGGAAATTTCTGATGAGTCTCTGAGGTTTTGAACAAAGTATTACACAATCTGCTAACATGTTTAAAACAAAGGCCTCTGCCTAAACACAACTGTTCTGAAACAAATAGTCACACTAAAGTTCTCACTAAATTAAAGCTGTCCAGCTTTCAAAGACAATAACACTAATGAGATTAATATACAATTTCAAATGTACAAATATGAGGTATGCTGTTTATTTTTAAGAACATTTATACGCATATCAGTGGCAAAGTTTTTACTTTCTTCCAGTTCCAGAAATGTATGTTAACATACCTGACTTCTAACTACAAATGGAAGCAAGCAATTGATCCAGATGAGTTGATCCATTAGTTGGTACTAGAATGAGATATACTGAACATGATCTTCATATGTAACAATTTTAGACATTGAACAAAAAAATGCCTTGTATATTTTGTAATGAACTTGAGTTAAGGAGAAATGGAAATTGTTTATGGAACATATTCAAAATGTAACTAACCAAGAAATGAAAGTAGAATAAACATTCCATGAGTGAGAAACAGCCCACAGACATGCTACATTTTTCAAGGTCAATGACCAGACTGAGACGAGGACTCATTTCTGTATCAACACTCAAAACCACTGAAATGTGAAAGTGACAGAAGAACTGGAAGGTTTACGAGATCACAGTCCTGCTCTGGGCTTATCAGTGCTGCACGCGAGCTAGAGAAGGCACAAAACGCCTGCCAATTTAAAGGAGGACATCGTTATATAGTGGACTGTACACTGCTTAAGAGAGAAAATTTCTTGCTGCATTCAAAATACTAAAACTCTGCACACAATTTATATATATATATACAGTGAGGAAACTAAGTATTTGAACACCCTGCTATTTTGCAAGTTCTCCCACTTAGAAATCATGGAGGGGTCTGAAATTGTCATCATAGGTGCATGTCCACTGTGAGAGACATAATCTAAAAAAAATTGATTTTTTAACTAGTTATTTGTATGATACAGCTGCAAATAAGTACTTGAACACCTGTCTATCAGCTAGAATTCTGACCCTCAAAGACCTGTTAGTCTGCCTTTAAAATGTCCACCTCCACTCCATTTATTATCCTAAATTAGATGCACCTGTTTGAGGTCGTTAGCTGCATAAAGACACCTGTCCACCCCATACAATCAGTAAGAATCCAACTACTAACATGGCCAAGACCAAAGAGCTGTCCAAAGACACTAGAGACAAAATTGTACACCTCCACAAGGCTGGAAAGGGCTACGGGGAAATTGCCAAGCAGCTTGGTGAAAAAAGGTCCACTGTTGGAGCAATCATTAGAAAATGGAAGAAGCTAAACATGACTGTCAATCTCCCTCGGACTGGGGCTCCATGCAAGATCTCACCTCGTGGGGTCTCAATGATCCTAAGAAAGGTGAGAAATCAGCCCAGAACTACACGGGAGGAGCTGGTCAATGACCTGAAAAGAGCTGGGACCACCGTTTCCAAGGTTACTGTTGGTAACACACTAAGACCTCATGGTTTGAAATCATGCATGGCACGGAAGGTTCCCCTGCTTAAACCAGCACGAGTCCCGTCTTAAGTTTGCCAATGACCATTTGGATGATCCAGAGGAGTCATGGGAGAAAGTCATGTGGTCAGATGAGACCAAAATAGAACTTTTTGGTCACAATTCCACTCGCCGTGTTTGGAGGAAGAAGAATGATGAGTACCATCCCAAGAACACCATCACTACTGTGAAGCATGGGGGTGGTAGCATCATGCTTTGGGGGTGTTTTTCTGCACATGGGACAGGGCGACTGCACTGTATTAAGGAGAGGATGACCGGGGCCATGTATTGCGAGATTTTGGGGAACAACCTCCTTCCCTCAGTTAGAGCATTGAAGATGGGTCGAGGCTGGGTCTTCCAACATGACAATGACCCGAAGCACACAGCCAGGATAACCAAGGAGTGGCTCCGTAAGAAGCATATCAAGGTTCTGGCGTGGCCTAGCCAGTCTCCAAACCTAAACCCAATAGAGAATCTTTGGAGGGAGCTCAAACTCCGTGTTTCTCAGTGACAGCCCAGAAACCTGACTGATCTAGAGAAGATCTGTGTGGAGGAGTGGGCCAAAATCCCTCCTGCAGTGTGTGCAAACCTGGTGAAAAACTACAGGAAACGTTTGACCTCTGTAATTGCAAACAAAGGCTACTGTACCAAATATTAACATTGATTTTCTCAGGTGTTCAAATACTTATTTGCAGCTGTCTCATACAAATACATAGTTAAATCATTATATCATTATCTAAAAAAAGATTATGTCTCTCACAGTGGACATGCACCTACGATGACAATTTCAGACCCCTCCATGATTTCTAAGTGGGAGAACTTGCAAAATAGCAGGGTGTTCAAATACTTATTTTCCTCACTGTATATATATGATGCGGTAGGCCTACTTCTATATTTAGCAACAAATGCTTTATGCTACACTTATCACATGACCTTACTCTGCTGTTGGTTTACACAAATATCTTCTCACCAGAAATTCTTACCTCTCTCAAAAGATTTTCTCAGTACTTAGCCAAATGTCCCCATTTTTTTCCCCATTGATGGAGCAAATTTACTGATTAAGAGAAAATGCAAAACAAATGGCAATTTTTTTAGAACATCCTAATTGAAAACAGTTTCATTCTGAGGGGGTTGTAAAAGAACAAAAAAATTAATTTAAATGCAAAGATGTCAATTAAGTACATAAACCAATCCCTCAATGTAAAAAAACAACAACATAAATCTGAATGACTGTTTAAGTTTATAAACGATATATTTTAAACCATGCACAAATCTCGTGCGTACATTGTCACATTCAAATTCAAACAGCCACATTCTGTTCTATTGAAAAGTATAATACTCTGTTCAAGCACCACTGGCTTGTGATCAAGTCACCAGGGTATAGATACAGGTAAAGCACCGTGTTACTTTACTGAAGTGGTTTCAGCTGCAGATTGTCCCAATGCAGTCTACACAGACAGGCTATTAGTCTTTTATTACCCGTTAATTTATTCTCAGTGCTACAACCCAGAGTTCTACCCCATCTCCCGTCATTCCAAGTCCAGTATCCCCTCTGATAGGGCGTCTATGGCTTTGGAAGCAGCGGAGGAGGAGCTTCCTGGTCCTGAGTCCATAAACATGTGAGGGATCTCACTTCCAAAGTAAATCTTACTATTAGCTGCTATTGCCTTAAATTTCATCAGCTGGAGATATTCAGGGGTCAGCTTGAGCTGTGAGAAGAGATGAGATGAGAAGAGAATAACATGTTTCATAAATCAACGAGCACATTAACCTTTGTGCCTCCTTAGGGACATTTTTGGCCTTTTCAGTTTTTGTTTTTGTTTTTTTTTATCACTTTTTCCTGTGTTAATGCTAACTGCATAAAATTTGGCACAGGTGTGTATTTTTATTGTAATTTTACTATTTCACCATTTCCTTAAAAAAATTTTTTTTGCACTAGGTACACAAAATACTCTCTCTCAGCACCTTTTGGACAAAAATGGCCCCATTGAAAACCATTAAAACTGCATTTTTTTTTATTCCAGGGCCATTTAACTATAAAATGATACAATCTTTGTGAAGAGGCTTTCATTCTGTTGGCAAGGCTTCAAAATTTAAATTTGTACTATTTTTTATCAGATGGCGCCATTTTTCCAGGTTTGGCCTATAAAAGCAAATTCTCGCTTTATTCCTGTTTTCTGCTTCGGCATATTATAGAGGATAAATTATTGAATAAATAAGGGGGGTTGGATAAATTATGCAGCGATATTTGTGTGGGTGTGTTGGTATGGATGTCAGAGTGGGGTTGGTATGTGTGTTATAAAAAAAATATATATATATACTGTATGTGTGTGCATGTGTGTCTTTATAATATTGAGAGAGGAAAACCTCAACTGCAAATCTAAAATCCAATCACTGTGTGCACCAGTGGAGTTTTGCTGGCATCCAATGGGGAAAGTCTGTTACTGCGCCCAAACAAAATCTTACTGAAAGCTTATTTTTTGCAGCCTGGATGCCAGCCCGAACCCCGCCCACAACATTTTTTTGGTCGGGAAGTTCGGTCTGGACTCGATCCATTGAGGAGTAATTATGATCGGTTCAGAATTAGTCGGGCCAATCAAATTGCCAGGGCGGGCTTTATACGATGATGGACAGATGATCTGCAGTTACGTAATCATCACGTTATCAAAGAGCGCTTGGGTTGAACTGGTTTCCCTCAAAGGTGACTGCAGCTGGAGAATTGAGATGAATAGATTCCGCTATTGCGTCTGTTGTAAAAGAAATCGACAGCGCATTCATTTTAAAAGACGAACAGAGAACTGCAATCAAGGCATTTGTCGATCGGAAAGATGTGTTTGCCGTCCTTCCTACTGGATTCGGCAAAAGTTTATTTTATCAGCTGGCTCCGATGGCCGCTAAGAAGATGGGACGTAATGAAAACCCTGTGGTCGTTGTGGTTTCTCCTTTGGTCGCACTCCTGGAGGACCAAGTAAAAGAAGCAACACTCATTATTTTACTACTTCTTCCAGTGTGCATGCAGTTGAGGTCTGTTGACAATTTGCGTAGCTCGTAAAAAAAACACTTACTGCGTTGCTCTGATTGGTTGTAGGTCTATCCAATTGAGTGCAGATTTGTTTGTTTTTTCCTGGTTCGGTTAAGACACGCCTCATAATCAAAGCCCTATGGAGCAGTATCAGACTCACATTCTGACTAGAATATGAGTATGACGAAGTCAGGCTACATTTTTTGAGATATCAACCTCAAATTTGGAACACAACTTATTTATATTAATGGCTTTGATTTAAGCCGTTTTTGAGTTCAACTTGTTTTTATAAAATATATATTTTATATAAAATAATGTTCATAAATCATTTTCATAAACTTAAACCTATATAACTTTTTTTTGGATTGACTTGTTCATTTTTTTTTACTTCAGCAATAATCTGCCAAGGGTCTTTAAAATGATACCAAACTTAAGTCTGTGCTCCCAAGCTTCAAATTTTTATGACAGTTTTTTGACATGGACATTTTTGTCCTCTATGGAGCTATCTGTAACTTTTTTTAAATGAAGCACAAGGGTTAATGATGGGGTACAGTTTTAATTGTTTACCTTATTGGCCTCAGCTGCTCTCTGTGCGGTGTAGAAATCTGCATCTGCTTTTGTTTTCTGCGTAGCAAGGAAAGCGCTGTCTATAAAATCAGCACAAAAAAAAAAAATGCAACATGAACACAACAGAAATCACAGTAACATTTAGGCCCTGTTCACACGAAAACGATTCCGGGTGAAAACGTAATAATATTTTATCGGATTTGCCTTTCGTTTACACGGCGACGGCGTTTTTGGGACTTAAAAACGCAAAAAAGTGAAACCACCCTCCAAAGTGGAAATCTTAAAAACGCTCCACAGTCGCGTTTCCGTCTAAACGGGTAAAAACGCAAATCTGCTCATGGCGGCTCTCGTCGCGTACGCATTTACGTCACAGGCATGCGCCAGTACAGGAAAATAACAACCAACATCTCGGATTATTTCCATACGTCGGACCTTCAAGTTGCCCTAGCAGCTCTGATAAACGTCCAAGAGTCTTTTCAATTTCGCGCTACTAGGGAGAGAAGTAGAAGGAAGGTTGTACGCAGGCGCACGGACTTGTTGTTGTTGCGTGGCAGTGCTTCACATTGCCACCTAGCCGCCTGGAGTGCATACTACATCGCATTTCTAACACTTTTGCGTCTCCATATGCACGCAGATTTCCCCCCCATAACGCTCGTCTAAACGCAGAATAAAAAGTGAAAACGAAACGCCACTTTTGCGTTTTCTCTTCAGATCGTTTCCGTGTAAACATGGCCTTAGTCAGAATTGTGTGATGAAGGAGAGTCAATGCAATTTAAATTCATGCTAAGCATCTCATAATATATTCAGGCGGTTCACCCAAACCTCTGAAAATTCAGAGTTAACAAGTTGTAATTACGGTAATTCCGACATAATGTGAAAGCATATTAGTATCTCAAGATGTTGGCCGCCATGAGGTGACCACATAAAATAAAATAAAGCAGACGACTGGTGTTTTTTTTTTCAAAAGTACTATTCATTTCATTATACGTAAAACTTTATATGTGGGGAAAAAATGACTGACTTTGTTGCACTCCTGCCAGATTAGTCACTAGTTTTACAACCAGCATTCAAAACTCAGTTGAAAATTGCTAAGACATTCTGGCCAGTTTCAGTACCGCTGGAAAGACCAGTACACCGGATATCCAAGTATTACGAGACAGTATATACAGCAGCCCTTTTATAATTGTTAAGCAACCCTGTCAGAGATCAAAACATGATGAGGCCTTCTAGATGAAAACAAATCTCTTTTTATTATGATTAAAACATTTGATCAGCATAGACTTTCCATCCAACTATATATATTGTGTTATAATGAATAACGGCATAATAATAAACAATTATAAAAGTTCCAAAGCATGTTCAGAACAAACAGTCCTTGCATCTGCATTTACAACACCATCTTGCACAAACATTGAGAAAATAAAATATCTGTCATTCTACAGTTTTTAGCTTCACATTAGTTCAGACACACCCCAACAACTTCGTAACAAATGTTCTCATAAAACCTTAACACTGTGGGTTTTGGCATGTATGATTCAGGCCATTTTCTCAGGAAAGTAATTTCCCCAAAATTACAGTACAAGGCAACCTAACCTAGAAACCTAACCTTAAAAAAAAAACATTCCAAAAACTGCACAGTTGAAAACATACCGAAGAGTAAGCTGACCATTTATAAAACTACTGATAGTTTATATATATATATATATATATATATATATATAGCTTCATCTTGCACTATTTTCATAGAAAAGTTAACCAGAATCTGGGAGAAAGTCAGTTGGAAGTTATATATATATATACGGTACGCATTTTTGGACCATTTTTCCTGCCGACCAAAATTTCGTTATTTCAAATGTAGGCGCGTCGCGCGTGGCAAGCGCGCTCATAATGTAAGAGACGCTGGCATGACCACAACATTGCCCAACATCAAATGGCAAATGTAATGTAAGCAAAACGAAACTGAGCTACTCGTTATTGTGTGGTTGACGGACCGTTTATCAGTTTGGACCAATGCAGTGCGAGCCGATCTTAATCAAGCAGCACTGTCTGTTACTACACAGTATCCAGTAAAGATCTACTGAGAAATGGTAAATGGACTGCATTTATATAGCGCTTTCACAGACCCAATGACCACCAAAGCGCTTTACATTTTGCCTCACATTCACCCATTCACTCACTCATTCGTACTCCGACGGCGGTGTCAGCCTTACAAGGCGCCATCCAGCTCGTCGGGAGCAGCTGGTCGGCGGGAGCAGTCGGGAGTATCCAATAAAGATCTACTGAGAAACATTCACATTTCTCCGTTATTAACGGATCTGTTGTATGGGTTTGGGCTGGTATTGGGTTTGTCCAGTAGGGGGCGGTGGCACTGTGTTTGTGGGTGGGTTTGTTGTGGCGCTGTTAAAAGCAGAGAAGAACACGCAGTGTGTGTGCTTGTGTGTGTATTGCCGGCTAGGCAAGAGGAAGCTTTTAAAAAATCCAAAGAGTTACTGCAGTCTAACCGTGTGTTAATCCACTATGATGAGAAAAAAGAATTAGTGCCTTCTTGTGATGCTTCAGCGTACGGTGTGGGAGCCGTGTTGGCACATCGTATGACAGATGGAACAGAGAGACCCATTGGGTTTGTATCACGAACACTTACAGTAGCAGAAAAAAAAAAAACTACTCACAGCTGAAGAAGGAGGGTTTAGCTGTAGTGTTCGGGGTAAAAAAAATCCATAAATATCTGTATGGCCGTAAATTTGTGATCTGTACAGACCATAAACCTTTACTAAGTCTACTGAATGAACTGAAAACTGTGCCACAGATGTTCTCTCAAAGAATTATGAGATGGGCAGTGATGTTGGGGGCATACGAGTATGTCATTTCTTACAGAGCGGGCAAGGACAATTGAAATGCCGATGCCCTCAGTCGTCTTCCTGTTCCAGAGAAAGAATCGAAGGAGGATTATGTCTTGATGTTGGACAGCGTTGTCAGTCCTTTGACGACATCAGAGCAAATCAAGCACTGGACAACTCGAGATCCTGTCCTCTCTAGAGTGCGTGAGTATGTGCTTAAAGGTTGGCCTGATCACCGTAATACAAATGAATTTGCACCTTATAAACAGAGACAACAAGAGCTCAGTGTTCAAGACGGGTGTGTGCTGTGGGTAGCCCGCAACATCATTCCAGAGCAAGGACGTTCGGGGTTGCTGGAACAGCTACATCAATCTCACCCAGTTATGTAAAGGATGAAAGGCCTGGCCAGGAGTTACCTGTGGTGGCCAAATTTAGATGCTGACATCGAGGCCAGAGTAAAAGATTGTACTGTGTGTCAAGAACAGAGAAAAGCCCCTGTGGGTGCACCACTTCATCCGTGGGAGTGGCCACGACAGCCATGGAGAAGAGTACATATGGACCAGGGATGGACAACTTCAGTCCTGGAGGGCCATTGTCCTACAGAGTTTAGCTTCAACCCTAATCAAACACACCTGAACAAGCTAATCGAGGTCTTCAGGATTACTAGAAAGTTACAGGCAGGTGATTTTTTCAGGGTTGGAGCTAAACTCTGTAGGACAGTGGCCCTCCAGGACCGACGTTGCCCATCCCTGAGGACTATGCTGGTCCATTCCTGGGGAAGATGTTTTTAATCTTAGTGGATGCCCATTCTAAGTGGATTGAAGCATATCCAGTAAACTCAGCAACAACAGCGAATACTCTTGAGTGCCTTAGAAAGAGTTTCAGTACCCATGGCATTCCTGAAATGATGGTGTCTGATAACGCTTAGTGTTTTGTAAGTGAAGTGAGCAAAGAATTTTTTTCTCGAAATGGCATAACGCATGTTACTGCTGCCCCGTATCATCCATCATCTAATGGTCTTGCTGAGCGGGCAGTCCAAACTTTTAAGGACCTCATGAAAAAAGGTTCTGGGAACACTATGGAGACCAAGTTGCATAGAGCCATACTTAGTTATCGTATTATACCCCAGTCGACAACGGGGTTGTCACCTGCAGAAATGATGATGGGGAGGAAATTGCGATGTACTCTAGACAAAATGCACCCTGACTTCACCAGCAAAATTGAATTGAAACAACAAGTTCAAAAAGAGCAACATGACAAACATGCAAAATCTCGCTATTTTGAAGTAGGAGATACAGTGTACACTAGGAACTTTAGGTATGAACCAAAATGGGTGCAGGGAGTAATTCAGGAAATCACAGGACCTGTATCCTATAAAGTAGCAATAGGAAGTGCCCAAATAGTGCAACGTTATGTGGATCAATTATTCATTCGACAACAAAAAGAGATACTGACTAAAGACTTTCAAGCGGCCTTGGGTGAACCTTATGAGTCTGATGTTGTGTCAATGGATGCTGATATTCAAATGCCTGAATCACTTAGTACGTCGACAACACTTGAATCTTTAGATAACTGGGAGCCTGAGAGTTTGAAATCTGGATGTCAAAGAAATCAATTGCAAGTATCACCCAGTGCTCAAAGAATGCCTGAATTGACTCAAACTAATGAGCCTGAGAGTGCATCCTCTGGATGTCTAAAACGTTCAGTAAGAAAGTGGAAACCACCATCATATCTTAAAGACTTTGTGACATAAAAAAAATAGTGTCATCAAAAAGAACATTAGAATTGAATGAATTGTGTGATAAAAAAAAAAAAAAAACACTGTAACATTGTACAAGAAGATTTTGTCTTGGGGAAGGATTGCCTCTGAGTTAAAGGGATACTCCACTTTTTTTGGAAATAGGCTTATTTTACAACTCCCCCAGAGTTAAACTGTTGAGTTTTACCGTTTTTGAATCCATTCAGCCGATCTCCGGTTCTGGCGGTACCACTTTTAGCATAGCTTAGCATACATCATTGAAGTGGACAAGACCATTAGCATTTCTCAAAAAAAAAAATGACCAAAGAGTTTCGATATTTTTCCTATTTAAAACTTGACTCTTCTGTAGTTACATCGTGCACTAAGACCGACGGAAAATGTAAAGTTGCGATATTCTAGGCTGATATGGCTAGGAACTATACTCTCATTCCTGCGTAGTAATCAAGAAACTTTACTGCCGTACCATGAGTGCAGCAGGTGCAGG